GTGTGTGTGTGTGTGTGTGTGTGTGTGTGTGTGTGTGTGTGTGTGTGCGTGTGTGCAATCAAAATGCACAAACTGGTCATGTAGTGAAGTAATAGAGCTGTACCAGCAGGTGCTGTGATTTAAGATCACTTAAAGTGAATCGGTGAGCGATGTGGTCTTATAAATAGCCCCCTGGTGGTGGTGGTCTGTTTTTGATGAAAGTGCCGCGAGGTCTTAATGCATTACGGTGTGTAAAGCCAGTAAAGGCTGTCAAAAGGCTTAACACACACACAAAAAGGGTAAATGGAACAATTAGACTGTTACAGGGGAAATGTGTGCAGAACCATAAACCTCTGGAGAGCATGGGCCTGCATCAAGGCTAAATGTCTATTTGTGTTAATGTCACTTGGATCCTCAACATCTAAATCAAGTTTGTTTTGTTATTTTGATGACGAACAGGTGTGAAACCATTCATAATTTGAGGTTCAAATGTGTAAACCGGTGCTGCAGTTGTCTTCTTCACTAAAAACCCTGTGGTTCCCAAACTTTACAGCTTCTGACCCTCAGAGTTACAGCTGCAGAGACTTCTGACCCCAACTGCTCATGACTGAAAATTACAAAGTCAGTCAAATAGTCACCTAGAGTCAAGACAATCAACTGGACTGGACAGATAACACCAACATCCTAGAAAGGGCAGAGTCACCTTTATCTTCTGAGGAGACTCAGGTCCTTTAACATGCTGCAGATGTTTTACCACTCGGTGGTCTCCAGCATCTTCTACGCTGTGGTGTGCAGCAGGGTGAAGAAAGCTGATGTCAACAGACTCAAAACTCATCAAGAGAGCTGGTTCAGTTCTGGGAGTGGACCTGCAGTCTCTGACAGAGGATGCTGAGGAAACTGCTCCAGATCCTGAACAACACGTCACACCCCCTGCATGACACACTGGGCTCTTACCGCAACACCTTTGGTAAAAGTTTCTGTTTTAAACGTGCTCTATAAATAAATCTGACTTGACCTTCAGTTGTAGACTGAGACCACAGAAGATTTTAACCAGTGCTTCTGGAACACAAGACAAACAAGCACACTGATTTTTTTTTTTTTTTTTTGCTAAATCCTATAGTTATATATAGTTAGGGTCGGCTTGGGTTTCCTGAGCTGTCTTTTAGTTATGCTGCTATAAGCTTAGACTGCTGGAGGACAAACTGACCACACTTTTCACTCTGCTACTGTCTTTACTTACTCTGCTCAACATTTGTAATTATTTTTTCTATCCTTAACATGCGGGTTTTTTTTGTCTTTCAGATATACCTGGACCTGCCAGTCTGTGTTCGTCTGTCTCTCCTTCCTGGCCTCTCAATCAGCCGGTCAAAGTAGATGGCCGCTTGTCCTGAGCCTGGTTCTGCTGGAGGTTTCTTCCTTTTAAAAGGGAGTTTTTCCTTTCCACTGTTGCCACTGTGCTTGCTCAGGATGGGAGACTGCAACGAAGCCAAGATTCAACTTGTCTGCAGGATTCCTTAGATAGAGAACTTTACTAAATGGCTTTTATGTGAATGTTCCTGTAAAGTGCCCTGAGACAACTTTGTTGTGATTTGGCGCTATATAAATAAACTGAACTGAATTGAATTGAATAAACAGGTAGGTGGTGACAGATGGGCATGTCAAAAATCAGTTAATTATTTAATTATACATACCTTAAAAAAATCTTATAAAATATCTTGAAATGGGTTGACTCTAAATGTTGATCAGTTTTATATTAGGTCTGCAAAATATATCAAAACGTTATCATTGCAATATTAGCGCGCGCAATGTTAAACATCACAAAGAACTGCTTGGACAGCAATACGTTATGCATGGTTAAATTTCCAGTATCATGCATTCATGGCCTGTATAGGCCTGTCACGATAAATTTTGCTGTGGGCGATTAATTGTCTCAGAAATTATTGTGATAAACGATAATATTGTTTGAAATTTGACAAGTAATTATTGTCAAATTTAAAAAGAGTTTAATTTGTTTCATGTGTAGTACTGGTTTTGTGACCACCGGATGGCAGTATAAGATAGTTTGAACCAAAGGATGGATAGCAAGGGAGCGAGCAGCGTGTCTCTTTAAGAAAAATGGGAGGGAGGCCCCTTGACATAACATGGGCTGTCTTTTGTTCTCAAAATGGCCAGCGCTCAGTGTGGTTTGAGCTCTTAGCGTAGCATTTTTCACACAAAGCTTTTAATAAAAAATTTAAAAATCAGTAAATAAGTTCTCAGCTTCTTTTTGCAAAGAAAAAACTTTTTACACGAAGGTACGGGTTTCAACCGTGAATTCTGGATCTTCGACAAGACGGAGATTTATTCCTGAGGTCAGCCTGTTAGCTTAGCTCGTAGCTTAGCTGCTTTTAATGATCCAAAACCTTGATTTTGGATTGTTAAAACAGATTTTAAAGAGAAAGTGGGGTGGGGGGTGTCAGGAAGAGCACCAGAGTTGAAACATTTGTCATCCAATGTCTTCAGAAAGAGACACGAAGAAACAATAAAGCCGATAAATGAAAATGAGGTTGATAATTTTAATTTATCCTGCGATTAAATGATTTATCGTTTATTGCGACAGGCCTAGTTCTGTATTTAATATGCATGTATTTAATCAGTCCATCAAACTGTAACTGGCCTTGATGCCCACATCTTGTTTAAATTATAACTATGACAGAAGAAACAATAAGTTACTGGTAATTGTAATCACCATTACAATCTTAAGTGATAGAAACTGTCCAGATGACCTGACTGAAAAATGGATTGTATACCTGGATTATTGAGCATGGACTTTGTTGTTTTCAACCAGTTTGACAAGACTGTCAACAAGGAAGAGGGCGGGCAATGGAGGAAGGGGTGTACCAAAGAGACCATCTTATCACAAGCAGAACTGGTTTGTTCCACTTTGGAGTAAGCTGTTTGGGGGAAGAATCAGTTGTTGTGCGTTTCCTCGACTGATGAAGCCTTCCGGACAGAAGGTGAAACGTTTCAGCACAAAAAAAGAAACTGTCCAGATGACCCGTCTGAAAAATGTTGGATTGTATACCTGGATTATTGAGCATGGACTTTGTTGTTCTTAAGTGATAGTATTGCACACTACATGTTTTTTTCTAATTTTGTGCAGCCCTAATTTAGATGTACATTCTAAAATTACTCTCAGCGAGTTTCAGTAAATCTTTCCAGTGGTCAATACAATTTTTTACTAACAGAGAAACAAACATTCTCTCATACACGCACACACTCTGTTACATGATGTCCACCTTTTATGGCTGCAGGCTGCATTACTCCAGACACCGGTCAGGACAATCGGATCAGATCCTGTGTTACTAAATATGTGGCTTTCAGTAAAATACTCATGGACATACATTTTGCTTGCTTGTTGGTCAGACAGGTGAGTTCTGACCCAGTTTCTGCAACGAGTAGCTTCTATGCTGATTCTTTTTTACCCATTACTTTTTTTTATTTCCTAATAGATGAAACTAGGGCACTAAGCAGCGGGCAGCCATTTATAGTTAGATTCTGTTGAGATGAATACTGATGATACAACCACACTAAAAAGAAAAAAAAACAAATGAAGAGGAAAAGCTGAGGATAACTAATTACAGACGATCCACACTCTCCATAATCATAATGTGGACTCACTGAGGAAGATGAAAGAAAATAAATCCCGACTGGAGGGGATGAAGCAATCAATCCATCATCCAATCAAAATCTCTATTCAAGTGTGTGAGTAAGTTCCATTAGCACCTGACCTCACCTACTGTTCATCACCTCATCATGGAAGTGTTCTGGACTATTTGATTTTCACAGGCTTTTAACACTAAAGAGCTACTGGCAGGAAGCACGCTGCTTGGGCTGAAATGGGACTGGGCCATAATGTTGCAGTCGATATGTAACTCAGTCAGAGAACAGTGAGGTGATCCATCATTCCAGTACAACCATTAAATGTCTGACTTGTCCTGCAACTACAGATCACATAAAAGCTGGGGCCCATGGTGACAGAGAACTGAGTTGATAGAGACAGGGTTGGAGCAGTGAAAACAGCGAGTGGGGGTGTCATCTCTGCACCGAGCAATCCCTGGTGATGGGGACTGCAGGCTGTGCCACAGTGACCGACATGCAGCTGCAGTCCCCCTGAGGGCAGGAATCCACAGAGCTGAGAAATCCATGCATTAGATGAGACCTCAGTCACTCATTTCTCTCCTCTAAACCTTCTCCCCTCAGCTCAACCCCCCCTGTCTTTCTGGACCATACTGTTACTATTTTTATTACGACTGAACATCTTGATCATACTGTCTAACGACTCCTACCAGATGTTTCTATTTTCTGCCACAACCCCTTTCTCATTCTCTACTATTCTGACAAAAAAACACATCTCTTATGCTGAAACTGTCAAACCAAATTATTAGCAACTGCTAAAAAAAGGAGCAGGAGGAGGATGTCTAATTTTTTTCTCACTTTTTTTGGCTTGAGCTCTATGAAACATCCCTGATTAGATGAAATATGTGGCTAACACCATCTAATTTGTTTAGGATACTTGCTGTGTGGGTCACATGTGGCATTTGTTTACTAAAAACTAAGCAACAGCTGGGTGGGTGTTGTTTAGGAGCTTAATTGTTCCTAATTATTTCATTGCCAATATGCTCAAATTCTTAAAGTATGCAAATTGATAAGACAACAATCTATCGGAAAGCCTGAAACCGTTTAGGAGCAGCTAACGAGATAATGTCTTTTGTAATAAGACCAAATAAATGGGACTAATTTGATGTTTTGAGGAATGGCTTGCCAGCTCAGCGCTGTTTTCTGCATGCAGTTGCACCAAAAAGCATCCTGACAGTATGAAAACATCTCAGTGAACTGATGCCAGATAACTGCATGGAGAAAAGGTTCAAGTCGCTGCTTACTGACAGACAGAACATGTCTGAGCATCACAGTCTCTACACAGCTGTAAAACTAGTCCAAAGCACAGGAAGAATGAGAAATCAGAAAACAATGTTAAGAGAAGCTGATAGTTTGACAAGAAGTAATTTGATTACATTTATTTTTAAATCAAAGGCGACACGTTAAAATAATTTTATGACGACTAGGCATGTCACGATAAATTTTGCTGGGCAATTAATTGTCTGAGAAATTATTGCGATAAACGATAATATTGTTTAAAATTGAACAATAAATAATTGTCAAATTTTAGAAGAAATGTTTGTTTGGAATCTAGTACCTTTTTTGACCACCTGATGTCAGTATAAGACCGTTTGAACCAAAGGATGGATAGTTGAGCAGCGTGTCTCTAAGAAAAATGGGAGATACTACGACGTGGGCTGACATGGTGGACACTCGATGTGGTTTGAGCTTTTTAATATAACATTTTTCACACAAAGCTTTTAATAATTTTTTTTTTTTAATCAGTGAAGTTCTCAATTTCTTTTTGCAGAGAAAAACAACTTTTTACACGAAGGCACGGGTTTCATCAGTAAATTTTGGAGCTTTGACAAGACGGAGGTTTATTCCTGAGGTCAGCCTGTGAGCTTAGCTTCTCAGCTTAGCTGCTTTTAACGATCCAAAAACACGATTTTGGACGGTTAAAATGGTTTTTAAAGAGAAAAGAGAAAGGGAGGGGGTCAGTGAAGAGCACCGGAGTTGATCCTTTTGTCATCCAGTGTCTTCAGTAGAAAGAGAGAGACACGAAGAAACGATAAAGCGGATAAATGAAAATATGGTCGATAATTTTCATTCATCGTGCGATTAATTAATTTATTGTTTATCGCAACAGCCCTAATGACGACATACGTGAAGTTATTTCATATACCAAGAGGTATCAGACAAATCCCTAAACGGGTTGGAAATTACAATTTGATGCAAAGATATTGCACAAGAGAGAAAACTTTAAAAGAAAACTGTTGTTTTTACCAGCAACTAATTTAATTTGTTTTAATCACTTAATGTTAAAATAATGCTGATGGAAATATTTCTCTTGCTCAATTTATAAAAAGGTAAACAACTCCCTTAACTTGTATTATGTGCGCCATATTCCTTTTAACAAGCTGCAAGTTGAACCCTCATAAATAGACTAATGTATTCAAGTCATGACTGTGGACTGAATGACACTGTGCTGACAGCTGAGAGCAACGGCCAACTCAACAGGCTCCCTGGAGCGCACACAAACAGCTTCCAGCAAAGATAGAAATGCAGCATGAAAATTATTTCAACACACACACACCTCCATGTAACATCTCATCTTCTCCTCCAGTGTGTACAAAGCGTTAAAAAAAAAACTATTCAGTTTTTCTGCTTTTGCTAGAAATAATCTTCAATTTAACGGTGACAATTCGTACACTGGGGATAACTTTTTCATCCCAGCAGCGTGGAGAATAATAATTCTTACCCAGTGTGTCTTTGATGTTCTTCACCAGCGAGCCTTTCTTTAGGCTGTTCTTGCGTTCCACGTAGTTTGACGGCACATACCCCGTCTGGTTGGCGGCGTTGCGAACGCGCCACCATGTCTTCGAGTCGTCGAGGAGGAAGAGACGCTCATTTTTACGGATGTCAAGTTCCTGGTCCTGCTGGGCCGTGTAGTCCCACTTGGCTACAACAATCACCTCCTCTGTCATCTTTCATGGAGTCCTCCTGTGAAGAAGAAGAAAAGGAGGTGGAGTGAGCAATGAAGTAATATTTAATTCTACTTTCAGATGGGGTTATAGTAAAGTAAAAAGCCATGATCATTAACAGTGACATAAATAAGGAGATAAAAAAAACAGCAAATAAAAATCACGCTTTTAGGAATGTAACTACCGTTAAACTTTTATACTTATATTTTGCTTCCAAGGAGCCAGACTTTCTCCATCTTTTATAGTTTAACAGTTTCTGAAAGATCTTTTAAAGTTTTACTTTGAGTTTGTTGCTTTATATTAATTTTCTGTCCAATTCTTGAACTTGCCATGGCAGCACATTGTGCAGTGTGTTCTTAAAGAAAAGTGAACAAGCTGAGGACAAAAAGGACAGCCAGGCCTTAAGAATATCAGAGCGGATGAAAAGTGAAAGTCAAGCCCTTAAAAGGTAAATCTAGAAAATACCTGACACAGAACACAAGAGATGCATCAATCCTTATTTTGTTTTTGTCACAGGCTGTTTGTGAAGACCCAGTTTAACATGATCTATTTGTTAGGAGACTTTTTATATCCGCAAAACAACAATGATATTTACGTCTATAACTGGACTAAAAATGAGTAAAAGAGCAGTTAAAGCTCAATCAAAACGTTATATTGATCAAGGTCACTTTGAAATAGTACAACAAAGTCTGGTACTTTAGAAGAAGAAACGAGGGATGACTCAAGACTTTTGCACAGTACTTCATTACTTCTAAAGCATGAAATAATCTTAAGCCATGTGTGTAAGGCGCAGCACCGCTGGCACAAGAAAGAAGTCATTACAAAACGATCCATAATCATCCCTGAATAGAATAACTGCTTACCCCGCTCACACTGGGCATTAGTCTGGATACAACCTGGAAAGGCTGCGAGTCGTTACATAATCAAGCCCAATGTTTATGATAAAAAATTGGAGTCTGCATTGCTTTAAAAAGGATAATTCCTTTAATGGAAATTATGGGAACATTTAAATAAAGCATAAGATCAACTAAAAACTTGACCTTTTATGACGATCTTTAAAATACAGACTTCAAATACGTATTTCTGAAAGGGTGAGTTTGGTAGACAACCGCACAAACACACAAAATCAATTCACGAGAGTGCACATCTCGTTTGTGCACATACATGAAGACACCTTGCCTATCAAGTTTTTTTTGTTTTTTTAGACAGGCAGGAAGTGATTACACGCTCTAGTTCACCAGGCTTTGGTGAGGTCAATGGACGTGAGTCAGCAAGACCACCTAACTGACGAGGACACGTGGTCTTGAGACTGGTCGAGTAAAGACGAGACGCTCTTGATGTAAACGCTCTGTAAGAAGTTTCTGTGCAAAGAGACAATGTCACGGCATGAAAACAATGTGACCAATCCAGTTTAAATTTAACTCACGGTAACATTACCAGTCCGGAAACAAGATCAGTAGAGAAAATAATGAAGTAAAACTGGCCACGTTTAAATTGATTAGGTCGTAAAATAAAGTAGTTTCCTGTACTGAAATACTGGATCATATCAGGAAAATCCTTTAAAATTAAAGGTCTCGCATTCTGTACATTAATGCATGGTGACAACTCTCAGCTAATTTATTTTCTCTGATTCATCAGGCATCTTGTTACCAATTCAATGCAGTTTATTTATATAGCACCAAGTCACAGCACAAGTCATCTCAGGGCACTGAACAGAAATATTAAAATATAAAAATAATAATTTAACACCATCTGAGCAGACTGCTTTGAATTTAACTCCATCGCAGAACTCTCATCTTGAGCAAGCATGAAGGCGACAGTGGAAAGAAAAAACTCCCTCACGAGGAAGAAACCTTTAGCAGAACCAGGCTCAGGACAAGCGGTGATCTGCTTCGACCGGTTGGGTTTGAGGAACGGAAAACAATGCCTGGTCAAAAATCAAATGGCAAGACAGAAATAATATTAAATTAAAAGTATTCCATTTTAGCAAATTTTTAAGGAAATGAGGTCAATTTGTCCTCCAGTAGTCTAAGCTTAAGATAGAATAACAAGCCAAACCTAACTATAGGATTGATAAAAAAGGAAAGTCTTAAAACTGGACCATGTGTCAGCGTCATGGACAGAAACTGGAAGTTGGTTCCACAAGAGAGGAGCCTGATAACTGAAGGATCTGCCTCCCATTCTGCTTTTGGAAACTCTAGGAACCGCAAGTAAGCCTGCAGTCTGAGAGCAAAGTGCTCCGTTAGGAAAATATGGAACAATAAGATCTCGAATATAAGATGGAGCTAGGTTGTTGAGAGGTTTGTAGGTTAGAAGTAAGACTTTGAATTCAGTTCTGGACTTGACAGGGAGCCAATGGAGACGATGGAATTTAACAAACAGAGGCATGGTCGTCCACCTTTCACAGACGTGAGCAATAATCATCTTCAACAAACCAGCTTTCAAACAAGTTGTTTCATTGTAGCAACAGGTTCACTCATTCACAAATATTAATGATTCAGTGTAGAAACTCCTGTCAAGTCAGAAACAAAAGAGAAAACACAGGTGTGTAAAAAGAAGCATGTGGGCAGATTTGTGCATATTTATAGAAAAAAAAAATGATACAAAGGAATAATTTCCCCCATGTTTTATAATCATTTACATAATATTAATGAGCGGAAGAGCAGATTAAGTTCAAACACAAATAAATTATGATTAATTAGAAATGTTCTGTGCAAATAAACATTTCATTTCTGGCAGAACAGTTTACACCTTCTTTGTAGGCTACTTATTATGAAACACAAACAGGAACGCTGTGCAACACTGCTTGTGATTTTAAGCTGCATAAATTCAATTCTGATTCAATTAGGCCCCAACCACAGAGACAGAAGAGCCATTACCAAATCCATCCTTGTTATGGTCACAACCAGAAGCAATGAGGAGTATCATAGCATCAGAGTGATTCATAGATGCTTTCTAGTTCTACATCAAGAAGAAATAACTCGAGTGGAACAGTTTGCACAGTAAATGTGCCTCTGCTCGCCATAGCTAAAGCTGTCAAACTGGATTGTTTCACAGGCTGGGACAGGGACAACAGACGAAACAAGAGTCAGAGTGTTGAGCAACACAAATAGTTTGTGCCAAGTTCTCCGTAAGTTAAACTACTCAACTTTCCCGGATGTGACAAGATGTACCGAACAAAGACAACAGGAGGACTGAGATTCAAGAGCTGCTCTGACATTTCAGGAAGATACAAAAGCAACAGCTGTGAATCCTTAAAAAAGAGTGTGATAAACCAAAATGGAGGGACAGATTTATGACAAGATGAAGGATGGTGACGTCAACTCTTCCAGGAGACAAAGTAGATACCTATAGGCCTCTGTGCCTCGGGCAGTAACAGCTGGATTAGTCCAGATTGCACCCTTCTTTTTGTTTTAGTGTATTTATTCCTCTGTTGGATGGACTAACGAAACCCCAAAACAAGACAACTTAAAATATTCTCATTGGGATTTCACAGCTGAAAAACAAGTTATTGAAATATGAATGGCTCTCCTTGAATTCAGTGAGCGATTTCTAACATTTTGCCATCGTGTTATGGATATCTACACTTTCAACATGACACCAGTTTGAACTGCTGCTGTCACAGAGAGGCAGCATTAATAATACAGATGAAGCCAATGATCCGGAGAGACGGGAGGAAGAGCAACAGAGCTACAATTCTATGCTATGACATACTAAGTATGTCATCAATTAACATAACAATAATAATAAAATTTAATGTAGAAAACTTTTGGGTAGACCTCTGGTCAGCTTTAGATGTTAACTTATTATGAAGCACGGTCCGGATGAAGTTCGTATCATATGCTGTGCAAAACTTATCTCACAATTTTAATAAACTTTGATAACCACTCACTTTAAAAAAGTTTAACAAAGAAGAAAGCCCCAACAACTTTTAAAACTCAATAAACTCAACTCTGAAGTTTATTTGGTTACTTACACAAGTAGCTGAGGACCTCCGAGCTGCTGCATGAGAGAGAAGCTCCCACAGGAAAATTCACTTTGCTAAAACATCTACACTTACAAGCGAAAACAGAGACGGTGAATAAAAGCAGTTTGTATGTTTTACTAGGTGCTTTCTTAAAAATGTGATGCAGTAGTTTGAAAAGATGCTAAATAATATGAGACAGCACTCAGGTGGTAACAGTGTATCAGATTATACATTTTTCCCCACTCTTGTGTTTGTATATTACTGCTTGTGGTCTCTTAAAAAAGTCTTCACTTGATCCAAAATGCTGCTGCCAGACCTCCGATGAGATTTCAGAGATCATCTCTCTCCACTTTTCGCTTCTCTCCATTTGCTTCTTGTCAAATTCAGAATAGAATTTAAAATCCTACTTCTAACCTACAAAGCTCTCAACAACTACCGTAAACTCAATCTTATAATACAGATCTCATTGTTCCATATATCCTACAGCACTTTGCCCTCAGATTGCTGGTTTACTTGTGGTTTCTAGAGTTTCTAAAAGTAAAATGGGAGACAAAGCATTTTGTTATTAGGCACCTCTCTTGTCAATGAGGCTACTATGGACATACATGGACATAAGTAATCGGATTAAACGGCCATTCGGATTATTTTTTGTTTATTCAGCGCTATCCGAAAGAATTTGTGATCAGAACGGGTGGTTTATGCCGATCCATAACCCAAACGGTGTGCATACAAACACTTAATCTGGCAATTGTTTTCCGATCGTGAATAACTGACCTGACTGTGCATGTGTGACCTGTGTCATTTCTGCCTGGCTAATGCTAATAATATTAACGTGTTGGGGAAGCAAAACTGGTCGGTGAGCGACAACATTTCTACTAGAAACTTTGAAAGAGCTCAAAAGTATCTGTACCACCTGTAGCTCAGTCAGGGAGTGCAGTAACGTCTCCACCGTCGTAAAAACCTGTCGCGGGTCCATTTTGGGCGCTCAGCTTTGCTTACGTTCATCCCAGAAGTAAACCAGAAGTAGAACTTCTTCTTCTGTGTTTTTTAAG